GGCTAACAAACACATGAAAAGATGCTCAACATCACTCATTATCAGAGAAATGCAAATCAAAACCACAGTGAGGTACCATTACACGCCAGTCAGAATGGCTGCTATCCAAAAGTCTACAAACAATAAATGCTGGAGAGGGTGTGGAGAAAAGGGAACCCTCTTACACTGTTGGTGGGAATGCAAACTAGTACAGCCACTATGGAGAACAGTGTAGAGATTCCTTAAAAAACTGGAAATAGAACTGCCATATCACCCAGTAATCCCCCTGCTGGGCATACACACGGAGGAAACCAGAATTGAAAGAGACACATGTACCCCAATGTTCATCACAGCACTGTTTATAACAGCCAGGACATGGAAGCAACCTAGATGTCCATCAGCAGATGAATGGATAAGAAAGCTGTGGTACATATACACAATGGAATATTACTCAGACATTAAAAAGAATAAATTTCAGTCAGTTCTAATGAAGTGGGTGAAACTGGAGCCTACTATACAGAGTGAAGTAAGCCAGAAAAATAAACACCAATACAGTGTACTAACAGATACATATGGAATTTAGAAAGATGGTAATGATAACCCTATATGCAAGACAGGAAAAAAGACACAGATGTATAGAATGGTTTTGGACTCGGTGGGAGAAGGTGAGGGTGGGATGATTTGAGAGATAGCATTGAAACATGTATATTATCATATGTGAAACAGATCTCCAGCCCAGGTTTAATGTATGAGACAGGGTGCTCAGGGCTGTTGCACTGGGATGACCCAGAGGGATGGGATGGGGCAGGAGGTGGGAGGGAGGGTCAGGATGGGGAACACATGTACACCCATGGCTAATTCATTGCAATGTATGGCAAAACCACTACCACATTGTAAGGTACTTAGCCTCCAATTAACCAAATTTTTAAAAATAATAAAAACAAACAAAACACTCCCTTGAACATCCCCTTCTCACGGCAGAGAGTCGCCTGCTCAGTTCCCTGGCCATCTCCCTGCCCTGTCACAGTGGCCTGTTCCTGGACATCCGCAGGTGTGCCGTGTCTGCAACGCCCATGAGCTCTGAGCCCCTCAAGGACAGTGAGCCTTCTCCTCCTGCTCTGCATCCCACTGCTGGGCATCTAACGACCCAGTGAGCAGTCCTTGAATTAACAGTTTTGCTTATTGCTCATCAGTGAGTGCTGAAGTGACAGCATAGGGGGGCAGCGTGGGCTGGACAGCACCATTTTTCCTCAAAGTATTCCTTCTCTCCCAAGACGTCCATGGCTTGTCCTGGTTCAACTCCTCTTTGGTCTTCTCTGCAGGTTCCTCTGCAATGTTTTCTTTCCTCTAGTCCTAGTACCTCAAGCAAATGTCCAGAGACCCTGCTTCCAGAAATGCATACGCAAAATCAAGGATGGATCTCTCGTTAGTATAACTTCCCATGTATAAAGAAAACTCACCTCCTTGGTTATCCCTTCATGTTTCCATTCAAGGTAACCTAAACTTGTTAAACATTCTCAATCAATATGACCCAATTATTTAAGTTCTTCATGGATATTCAGAAGTTTCAAGAACACCATCATTATTAATGGAAGGACAATGTGATTAGACAGAGGTCATTTTGACTTAATCACTAAGCCTGAAATTTTCCAGCCATGGGACCCAGGTCTCAATTTCATGGTCTAACCTGAAAACCCTTATGGCAGAAAGAGAAGAACTAAAGAGCCTCTGATGAAAGTGAAAGAGGAGAGCAAAAATGTTAGCTTAAAGCTCAACATTCAGGAAACTAAGATCATGGCTCTGGTCCCATCAGTTCATGGGAAATAGATGGGGAAACAGTGGAAATGGTGGCTGACTTTTTTTTGAGGGTCTCCAAAATCACTGCAGATGGTGACTGCAGCCATGTGGGAGAAGGCAAGGGTGGGAAGTTTCGAGAGAAAAGCATCAAAACATGTATATTATCAAGGGTGAAACAGATCACCAGCCCAGGTTGGATGCATGAGACAAGTGCTCAGGGCTGGTACACTAGGAAGACCCACAGGGATCAGGTGGAGAGGGAGGTGAGAGTGGGGATCAGGATGGGGAATACGTGTAAATCCATGGCTGATTCATGTCAATGTATGGCAAAAACCACTACAATATTGTAAAGTAATTAGCCTCCAACTAATAAAAATAAATGGAAAAAATAAGAGAGAGAGGGAAAAAAAAAAAGCTTGCTCCTTGGAAGAAAAGCTATGACCAACCTAGATAGCATATTAAAAAGCAGAGACATTACTTTGCAAACAAAGGTCCACCTAGTCAAAGCTATGGTTTTTCCAGTAGTCATGTATGGATGTGAGAGTTAGACTATAAAGAAAGCTTAGTGCCTAAGAATTGATGCTTTTGAACTGTGGTGTTGGAGAAAACTCTTGAGAGTCCCTTGGTCAACAAGGAGATCCAACTAGTCCATCCTAAAGGAAATCAGTCCTGAATATTCATTGGAAGGATTGATGTTGAAGCTGAAACTCCAATACTTTGGCCACCTGATGGGAAGAACTGACTCCTTGGAAAAGACTCTGATGCTGGGAAAGATTGAAGGCAGGAGGAGAAGGGAACGACAGAGGATGAGATGACTGGATGGCATCACTGACTCAATGGACATGAGTTTGAGTAAACTCCGGGAGTTGGGGATGGACATGGAGGCCTGGTGTGCTGCAGTCCATGGGATCACAAAGAGTCGGACATGACTGAGTGACTGAACTCCACCTGAAAACATTGGACTAGATGATTTTCTGGGTTCTTCTGGTACAAAAGTCCTATGATTGGTTGGTACATATTTCTAAAAGATAACCAAAGGAATTATTTTTCAAACATATATAAATCATATGTGATATAGCAATTAGATCAGTATATGTAAAAATGTGGTCTAACTGATTTGTTGATGATACTTTAAGTATTTTACAAATAATAGAATAAGGTTTACTGGTGTTGCTTATTTATATTATTTTTTAAATCACTGTTGTAAATAAAAGTCACTATTCTGCCACAACTTAAGTATCCATAAGTATCCATTATAAAAAGACCTGATGATTTTATTCCTTAAGCAGCTAAGCAGCTCACATACAGAGTGTCTCCACTCCGAAGTTTTTACCAATAACGACACATCCCATGTCATCCCCTTGTCTGTGGGGGGTACTCCCACATGGCTAGAAATCAGCCCAAGACTCCTCATCTGTGAATCTTCTTTGCCAAGCAAAATATCTGGGGGTTTCTTCCTCACTATGTGTGCTTTCCATAGAAAATTATTTTTCTGTTGGAAAGCAAAATTTCCCATTAAGAGGAAAGTCAATTTTTGAAAATATAATAAGCAATGCACAAAATGGTTCACTCACCCATAAACTCCAAATGTCTGACTGTTAACAGAATTGGAACTCAATGTTAATTTACAAAGCAAAGAGAGAACTCACACTCAAAGACGCAAAAATTGGGAGACACTAATAGCCATGGTGTTCTGAGAGGCCTGAGAAAGCTTGTGTGATTCCAAAAGTCCTGCCTGTAGCTTGAAAGATCCCCTAAATGCATGGTGGTGGGTGGGTTTCTCCTGCCGGCCTGGGAATTTTCTCCAAGTGTTAGGTGTCCTCTGCAGACAAACGACCTCCTGGTAGAGATGGCCCCACTACCGGGAGAAGCCTGAGAGCATCAGCTCCATATCCCCTGTGAACACCCCTCTTCAGGATGGAACTAGAGTCAGCACAGCATCCTGGTACCCAGTGGGGACTGGCTGACACTCACAGATGCAGACTTCCTGGGTCAGGCCATAGGACAGGCTTGCGATGGGAAGGCAGGTTCCAGGTCCCAGAGCAGGTACCACTGCATCCTACCTCATCACCTATGGACACAAGGCCCCAGCCCTCAGGATGAAAAGCTGAGTGTCTTAGGCCATGTCTCAGGTCAACGTTCTTTCAAAACTAGAAGATTTCTCTTGAAAACACATCCATTAATGTGCCTTTCTTAAATAGACCTGATCAATATTTTTAAAGCCTATAGTAGGACTTAGCAGCTAAAGAAAAATATTCTTCGGTGATAATTTACATTTTATCATGGAATTGCAGCCTCTGTAAAACTTGAAATATTGTGTGTGTATATATTTATTGATATGCCATTAGATATTTATATTTTCATTATTGTCTTAAAATGGTAGAATATGTATAAAGGCCAGTTTATTTTACACAAACGTGTGGTGAAAATAAAAAGGGTGAAATCACAGAAAATCCAATTTTTCAATTATTTTATTGAAGCTGCAGGCATAGTGGTTCCTCAGTGAGGTTTTGAGAAAATATATGCTTTCAAACTCTTTCTTTATTCTTTTGGAAAGTAATTTCTGTCTAGGTAGGCGCATCTTAGGCAATTCCAGAGAAATTCCAATTTACAATCTTGGAAGAAGTCTTTCCAGATCCAGCACCTGACCAGAACAGATCATCCCAGAGTATGTTTATGTCTTGGAAATGTGAGCAAAGAGCAAATAAAAATGTTAGCTTTGAAACATCAGAAATCTGAGTGTCATCCTGAGATCACATCTATAAATGAAGACTTCATCAACTAAGTAACATAAGATTTGAGCTACAGCTTGAGAAACTCGGGGGAAAAACACCTTGAGACCGGCCAGTGTTCTTTTAAAGGGTCACCTTGCATAGTCAAAATATCATCCAATTTGTTCCTTGAATGCAGAAATAAACTCAAGCACTTTATAAGCAACTAAAAATATATTCCAGCTATGAGATTGTATCGATTTAAATTTGCAGAAGAAACAAGATAATTTGACACTCGGGCACTGGCCAAGCTCTCACTGTGTGACAGGAGATGTGATGCTCTCCACTCCTCCACCCAGCTCACTCCACCGTGAAAAGCTTCCTGCCTCAGTGCTCACAAACCCCAGCCTCTGCTCAGTGCCACCCGCAGGCTGCCGCACGGGCCAGTGAGCATCCCCAGTGCCAGGCCCCTCTACCTCCCAAGCTATGGCGTCTGACCCCCTAATGTCCAAGTGTCCGGTACGCTGAACACAAGCACATGGCCCTGCTCCCCGTGAGGCCCGAAGATGCCACTTCCTATGATGAGAATGCTGCCCGGCTGATTCCATCTGGTTCTTCAGAGCTCACGGATGAGGGCCCATCATCTCCAGAGGGATGCTCTGCTCCCTCAGACCAGGTCACCGCCCCCCCGCCCCCGCCCCACCAGAACTTGCAAAGTCTCTCCTGTCAGTACCGCAGCAGGAAATAACACAGCAGCTGAAGAGTGGGTGCCCTGTGCAGCTAAGGAACCCACGGCATCGATGCCAGCGTCACACGGCTGCAGGTGACCCGGGTCTATGCGAGGCTCCTCCGCCCCACGCCCATGTGCTTCCTTACCTGGAACCCAGGGCCCTCTCTGTTTCCCGGGCTGCAAATTCATGGCCTTATGCAGTCAGTGTCCAGCATGTGACCAGTGGGTTCTGAGATGGCCCCAGCCGGGCAGGATCCTTCACAGGCAGGGTCAGTCATGTGATGAGTTTCTCAGACTGGAGCAGCATGGACAGGCTGGGGCAGGCTTCTCTTCTCCCGAGAGCCAGGCAGACTTAAGGGCATCCTTGCAGTAAACACCACATACCCCTCTCATGTGTTCACTTGCCCCTCAGGAAGCTAAAGGAGATGAGGCAGGAGATGGTTTCCATTCTTCTAAAGCTGATACAAGCTGGGAAAGCTACCCGGATAAAATAGGCGGACTTATGTGCAGGGAGAGTAGATGCTTTAGCTCGATGCAGATATAAAACAGAATGGAGATAAATTAAATGGCAGGGGTGATCCTGCTAGAGACAGAGGATATAGACAGAGATGTAGATGTAGGTAGGTGTAGGTATGTATAAGGATGGAGATATACTCCATATATAAATGATAGAGTGATGCTGAGGGTAAGATGGTGGAGAAGGGGACAGATATGGAGATCTGGTGACCTCCCCATGAGTGCCTGACCAGCCACCAGGTCAGCCCAGCCTCTGTGAGCCCCTCCTCTAAACACTCCCTCAGAGTGAGGCCTGATTTGAGTTGTGAAAACCTATTGAGCCTCCTCTTACCTGAGGCAGATTATTACAGGAATTACAGCAAATTATCCTGGGCAGAACTCTCATTCTTGGGTTTTGCAGATTGTGTCCTGGGAGAAATTTCAGATTTCATGAGGTCTCTGTTTTCTCCTTTTCCGATTGTCTTCCTGCTGATATTCTCATTTAAAGCCTCCATGTTGCTAAACTCAATGGGCAGGCATAGCTGGGGCAGTCGTTCCAGGCATTCAAATATCCACTGACCCCCAGACCCGTCTAGCACTCACTGAACTTCTGGCGTAGACTCGCAGTGTTTCCCACACCTCGACCAGTGCAGAGGTCCTTAGGTTGAGGCGTGCGACATCGCCTTTCTTCACCTGCTCAATTTCCCCATGGGAATGGCTCACCTGTCACATGGCATTTATTCCAGACACAAGGGTGCCAGCCTCCTTAGAGTGACTTTTTTTGAGATGTCAAATCTTGTTCAGTGCATGGTGATCAATGCTGCTATACTTTGGGGAATTAATTCCTTTGCATGTCTATGTGTATATTCTTCTAATTTCACTACAATTCAGTCTTGCTTCCTCTGAAACAAAATTACTATATATTTCTTTTATTTCTCTAATTCATTTCTAAACATTTTTGGGGATTCTTTTTTCTCAACTGAACTCCTCGAATTTATATTCCCACGGCAGATTTAATCCATTTTCACTTAAAATATGGGTAACAGTCATGTGTCTCAAAAGACTTTTTGCAATATTCCCATACTAGAATATATATAAGATATTCACTAGATCTAGTCCACATTAACAAGAAGTTCAGTGATTTGAAATCCACGTTGGTATTTTCCTTTGAATTATGGATGACTTTATCAAAAAAGTATTTTATTACATTACTTTGAACATAATTTAGGTCAAGAAAGTAGAGAGGAGAGCTAATGTGTATTGGCTGCTTACTAAACCCGTGCATGATCTGTCTTAATCCTCCCCAGGGCTCTCAGGGTCCCTTAGGAACCATTAACCTCACTTTACAGTTTTTACAGATGAAGAAACAGGCTCTGAAATGGGGCCCAGCTGAGCTGGGTTTGGAGGGCTCTCAGTAACTAGCAGGTGCTGATCGCATACCAGGGGTCTTTTTCACTTCACCATATCCTGTATCCCGTCCCATTTATGAAACATAAAAATTCACTCAGGAAAGGAGTGATCAGAAGTTGGGTTTCAGTCCTGCTTCCATTCACCTGCATATTAAGGGTATTTCATTATATAACTGAATTCAGTAGTTTAGTCATAGACTCTAGTGGGCATTTGTGATAGAAATATGTAAGCATCACAGAAAGTATGAAGTTAGGAGGCAAAGTAATGATCTGACTGATAAGCTAGAAATATGGATTATATATACAGACTATGATTGTTGTTGTTGTTCAGTGGCTAAGTTGTGTCCAATTCTTTGCAACCCCATGAACTGCAGCACGCCAGGCTTCCCTGTCCTTCACTGTCTCCCAGAGTTTGCTCAAACTCGTGTCCATTGAGTCAAGTGATGCTGTCTAACCAACTCATCCTCTGCTGGCCCCTTTACCTCTTACCCTCAACCTATAAATATATTTAATATAAATGACATGTGTATGATTTCAAATACTAATAACAATAGCCCAAGATCAGGGAGACCAAGTTAGATGCAGAACATGGCAGAATACTTGGCTAAAAACCAAGGGCTTGCTGTCATCAGGAGTGGGTTAATGATGGCCTGAAACAGCTCAGAGTGCATTAATAGAAATGAACAATGAGATACAAAGAAATAGAAACACATTTAGAGGAAAATAAGGGGAAGGAAAGAATATGTGGCAGAAGGCTGTGGCTACAGAGAATTTAAGTGTACAACTAGAATGATCAACCCACAGAAACCAGAAATGGAGGAGTAGAAACTAGGGAAATGGTGAAGGAACAAACGAAATGGAAAAATCGAAAAACTCGAGGCCTGTATGAAAGGAAAGGGCAGATTACTTGTGAGTGAAATGCAGGCAGAGGTAGAAATACAGACACTGGGGTCAAGGAACGGAGCTTAGGCTTGAGGGCCGGGGCTGTGGGTCAGGGGAGTGGCTCTGTAGGTGAGTCCTCTAGGTGAGTGAAGCTGGACTCGACATGCAAGAGTGTTAGAACTCTTACTGCCATGCCCACCCATATGCAGTGGTTCTCCAGCACCTATTATTCATCATTTCCTGTTAATTATAACAGTAACTTGCATCCATAACATATTGTTATTAGAGGTTTATATATGCACTTTCCACCTGACATTTCCTTTAGGATTCATTAGTTCATTTGCTTTCCAACCCTATTGAGAACCTGCTCTATGTCACATGCTACTTCATGTGCTGGGAACACAAAGAGGAAAGATAGACAAAGCTAGTGCTTCCCTGAACCCATATATTCTCCTGTGGAAACACAAACCAGCTCTAAATAAGTCAGTAAATACATATTTTCATATACTGGAAAAGTATTATCAAATGAAGCAGTGGTAGAGAAGTGTTTTTCAGTCTACTAATAGTGACCCATTTTGTTTTATGAAACTGACTTACTGGGCCCCAGGCAACATTTCTTTAAATAAAATGTTACAGTAGATTCAAATGTGAGCAGACACAATGTATTGTGTACAGAACCATCGAAGTGTAACCCATATGTTGTATAAGCTTTCTTTCCTGTATACACATGCATGTATATGTTTCATCTGCAGCAGCCACTCAGTGGGGGGGTCTGTGTGTGTGTGTCTGTGTGGGGGGAGAGCAGGCAGAGGTGCGACCCCGGCCCTGGCTTCATCTTCCCTGATGGCACTCCCGTCTCCTCGCCTGCGCATCTGCACTCCTTCTCTGTGGACGCCCAGGGCTCCAAGGAGCAGGGAAGAGCTCCGCACCAGGAGGCGGGCTGTGAGGAATCAGCTCCAGGATCTAGAGGCTGAGGGGCCGTGACCTGCCAGCTGGAGGCCCTGCAGTGCTGGTGTGTGTTTCAGTCTGTGTCCAAAGGCGTGAGAACCAGGGGCTGCTGATGTGGACCCCAGTGGGAGGGCGGGAGAGAGACAGAGAGATCCCAGCTCAGCACCTAGAGGAGAGGAGGGACATTCCTCCTGCCTCCAGCTTTTCTTCTCAGATCTTCAGTGGACCGGATGGAGCCCCACACTGGGGAGGCTGACCGCTGAGCCCACCGATCAGGTGCTGCGCCCATCCAGAGACACCTCACACAGGCCCAGAGAGGATGTTTTAGCTGGTCAAGTTGACACGCAAATTAACTGCCACCAGACTGCCAGGCTAGCTCCGTGACTGCCCCTGAGAATTGATATGTACACACACACATACCGTTTTCTTGTTTGGATCAGAGAAAGCAACATGAATTAGATTCTCCCATTTTAATTAAATTTAAAGACATGTTTACCATTCTTTTTAAAGAAAAAGGTGGCCACGATCTGAAATTTTCTACTCTCAACAAAGCACAGGGGAGAAATTAATGCCTATTATACTAAGTTCTGTATGTAAGTTAAATAAGCAGGGTGACAATATACAGCCTTGACATACTCCTTTGCCAATCTGGAACCAGTCCATTGTCCTGTCCATGTCTTGTTCTAGCTGTTGATTCTTGACCAATGTATAAGTTTCTTAAGAGTCAGGTAAGGTGGTCTAGTATTCCACAGTTTGTTGTGATTCACACAGTCAAAGGCTTTAGCATAGTCCATGTAGCAGAAGTAGATTTTTTCTGGAATTCTCTTGCTTTTTCTATGATCCAGCGGATATTGGCAGTTTGATTTCTGGTTCCTCTGCCTTTTCTAAATCCAGCTTGTACATTTTGAAGTTCTCGGTTCACATACTGTTGAAGCCTAGCTTAGAGGATTTGGGGCATTTCTTGCTAACATGTGAAATGAGTGCAATTGTGTCGTAGTTTGAACATCCTTTGGCATTGTCCTTCTTTGGATTGGAATGAAAACTGACCTTTCCCAGTCCTGTGGCCACTGCTGGGTTTTCCAAATTTGCTGGCATATTGAGTACAGCACTTTCACAGCATCATCTTTTAGGATTTGAAGTAGTTCAGCTGGAATTCCATCACCCCCCTAATTTTGTTTGTGGTGATGCTTCCTAAGGCCCACTTGACTTCGCACTTCAGGATGTCTGCCTCTAGGTGAGTGAGCACACCATCGTGGTTATCTAGGTCATTAAGACTTTTTTGTA